TTCTCAGCAGTCGAGAGAGAATGCCTTGCTGTCAAATGAGCTATGGAGACACTGCGTTATTACCTCGTAGGCTGGCGATTTATTCGTGACGGACCATGCACCCTTCCAGTGGATGAGGCGGAATAAGGAAAAGAATGCAAGGGTCACCAGGTGGTTCTTATCCCTCCAACCATTCCAGTTCTCCATACAGCACAGGGCTGGATGCCACCATGGCAACGCTGATGGTCTGTCACGAGCATACTGCCTGGCGTCCCAAGTTGCCCAACTCTATGGTGTTGAGCGGGGGGGGGGGGGCATATGTGACGGGGCAAGGCCAGATGGCTATAGAAAAGAAGTGGGAGATAGATCTATTGGCTCCAGGCTAAACAAATCCCTGATACCAGGATAAGTGAAATGGCAGCTGCTCCAGGTCCATTAAGACACCTGGGGCCAATTAAGAACTTTCCAGAAGGCAGAGAGAACACTAGGTTGATTGGGACACCTGAAGCCAATCAGAACTGGCTGAAACTAGTTAAAAGCCTCCCAGTTATCAGGTGGGTGTGGATGTCAGGAGCTGTGGGAGGAAGTTGCGCTGTTTGAGAGACTGGGCAGTACACACCACATCAGGCACAAGGAAGGAGGCCCTGAGGTAAGGGTGAAGTGGAGCTTGAGGAAGTGGGGGCTGCTGTAGGGAAGTAGCCCAGGAAATTGTACGCATCATGTTTCTAAGAGATCAACTACCATAGCTGATACTATTAGGGTCCCTAGGCTGGAGCCTGGAGTAGAGGGTGGGCCCGGGCTCCCCTCCTTTGTCCCGCACCGCACCCCCCCCCCCGCACCCGCGATTACTCACTGAGACTGGGAGACAGAGACTGTGCAAAGGGAGATAGCTTCTCCTCACCTCCCTCACTGGCTTATGATAAAAATGGCTCAGTAGACTGTGAGCCTTGTCTCTACAGAGAGAAGGGTTACGTGGAGGCTCACAGTGAGCCTCTGAGGGTAGCGAAATCGGCCAGGAAATGCGTGACCCACAGAGACAAGGACAGTTTTTATATAGTGTGACAAAGCTCTAACAATATTTTCCACATTTCAAGGACTATTTTAACCAGTTGATTCTGGGAAAACTTTCACAGGAGTGCATCAGCCACTGGGTTAGAAGCTCCCGAAATGTGTTGTATTTCAGAATCAAAATCTTTGAGAGCTAAACTCCACCAAAGACATTTTTTGTTATTGTTCTTGATGGTGTGAAGCCACTTCAACACAGCATGGTCAGTTTGTAGTTGGAAATGCCATCCCCAAATGTATGCGTGTAGCTTTTACAGCACATACACAATGGCGTAGCATTCCTTTTCCCTGATTGACCAGTGGCCTTCCCTCTCAAATAGTTTCTTGCTGAGAAACACGACAGGATGGAATTCTTGATCCGGTCCTTCCTGCATTAAAACTGCTCCCACGCCAAGTTCGGAAGCATCTGTGGTGACTAGGAAATGTTTGTCAAAGTCTGGGGCCCTTAGCACAGGGTCAGACATGAGTGTCGTTTTAAGCTGGTTAAAGGCCTTCTGACACTTTTCAGTCCACTGAACTGCATTTGGCTGTTTCTTTTTGGTTAGGTCTGTCAGTTGGGCTGCGATTTGGCTATAGTGCGGTACAAATTGCCTGTAATATCCAGCCAAGCCTAAAAAAGATTGGACCGGTTTCTTTGACTTTGGGACAGGCCACTTTTGGATAGCATCCACCTTGGCCTGTAGGGGGTTGATAGTCCCTTGACCCACCTGGTGTCCAAGGTAAGTCATTCTGTTTAGGCCTATTTGACACTTTAGCCTTAACAGTTAGTCCTGCCTCCCTTATGCGCTCAAAGACTTTTTGCAGATGCTCCAGGTGTTCTGCCCATGAATCCAAAAAGATGGCCACATTGTCAAGGTAGGTGACTGCAGATTCTCCCAATCCTGCTAGGAGACCATCTTCAAGTTTTTGGAAGGTGGCAGGTGCATTTCACAGCCCAAAAGGGAGCACATTAAATTCATACAGCTCTACATGGGTGATGAAGGCTGACCTTTCCTTGGCAGATTCATCCAGTGGTACTTGCCAGTACCCCTTGGTTAAGTCTAAAGGTAGAGAGGAACTGGACACATCCCAGTTTCTCCAATAGCTCATCTACGTGTGTCTGGTCAAGTTACCGCATTTAGTTTATGGTAGTCCACACAAAAGCGTATCTCCCTATCTGGTTTGGGAACTAGAACAACTGGAGATGCCCATGCACTGTCAGAGGGGCAGATTACACCCATTTGTAGGATATCCTGGATCTCCCGTTCTATAGCAGTTTTAGCTTGAGGAGACACCTGGTAAGGTTGGGCTCTACTTGGGTGAGCATTACTTGTGTTAATGGAGTGGTCTGCCTGTTCGGTCCACCCTGGGGTGGCGGAGAACATCGGCGCGAAGCTAGTGCACAGCTCCTTGATCTGCTGGCGCTGCATATGTCAGAGTCATTGAGAGGTTCACCTCTTCCACACCACTATCACTTTTTCCTTCATAGTAGATACCTTTAGGCCACTCAGCATCATCTCCTCCCTGGGCTGTAAACTGACAAACTTTCAATTCTCTGGAATAAAAGGGCTTTAGAGAATTAACATGGTACACCTTAGGCTTTAGGGTTGAGGTGGGGAATGCTATGAGATAGTTAACTGCTCCCAGGTGCTCTTGGACTGTGAATGGCCCTTCCCACGACACTTCCATCTTATGGGCCTGGAGCGCCTTCAAGACCATAACCTCATCCCCTACTTTGAAGGAAGGCTCTCTGGCATGTTTATTATACCAGGCTTTTTGCTCTTCCTGAGCATCTTGTAGGTTCTCTCTAGCAAGGGCTAAAGAGGCTCGGAGGGTGTTTTGTAGGTTGTTTACAAAGTCCAGAACGTTAGTTCCTGGAGAAGGTGTAAACCCCTCGCATTGCTGCTTCACCAATTGTAATGGCCCCTTAACCTCATAGTCACACACAAGTTGAAATGGTGAAAACCCTAAACTGGGATGTGGTACAGCCCTGTAGGCAAAGAGCAACTGCTGTAACACTAGGTCCCAATCGTTGAAGTGCTCATTTATGAATTTACGTATCATGGCCCCCAAAGTTCCATTAAACTTCTCCACCAGGCCATTTGTTTGATGGTGGTAAGGAGTAGCAACCAAGTGATTCACCCCCATGAGCTTCCCAAAGGCTTTCCATGGTTCCTGCCAGGAAATTAGTTCCCAAATCCATAAGGATGTTGGAGGGCCAACCTACCCTGGCAAAAATGTCTGTTAGTGCCTGGCACACACTTTTAGCCCTGGTATTGCTTAGAGCTACTGCTTCCAGCCATCGGGTCGCAAAATCCATGAAAGTCAGTACGTACTGCTTTCCTCTGGGTGTCTTCTTTGCGAAAGGACCCAGAATATCCACAGCTACTCGCTGAAGTGGGACCTCAATTGTGGTGAGTGGCTGGAGAAGGGCTTTGACCTGGTCTTGGGGTTTTCCCACTCTTTGGCATACCTCACAAGACCGGACATAGGTAGAAACATCCTTGTCCATTGCCTCCCAGTGGAATGGCCTCCACAAAGTCTTTGGTCCTGCTTACCCCAGCATGACCACTAGGATGATTGTGGTCTAAGCTTAAGAGCTTTACCAGGTACTTAGTTGGAACTACCAACTGTCGGAGGATGCCAGTCTTCCTGGTGCCCACCAGAAAGTTTTCTTGTATAAAAGTCCTCTTTCTACAACAAACTGATATTGATCAGAAGAGCAGAGAGGCAGTGGGTTGCTCCCTGCCGCTGTCCAAGCTCCCTGGAGGCTTTCATCTGCTTCCTGTTCAGCCTGGAACCATTCCCTTGATGCTGGAGACATCAGTTCCTCACTGGATTGTGGACCTGGGCCTGGTCCTTCTGAAAGCGATGCAGGTGATGGGGCTGTTTCCATTGACTGTGAACTGCTCTCCGCTGGTGCGCCATGTGGTATTTCAGGCTCTGGCTGAGCCTCTTGTGTAGGTTTATCTGCTGCTGCCGCCGCCAGCTCAAGCTTTGTGGCGCCCTCTGGTGTTGAAGTTGTAGACAGGTTTGCAAGCTCTGGACACCGGAAGGGGCATGGGAATGGGTTAATCATCATAGACTGCAAAGTCTACATTCCTGACCAGCCCTTGTACTTGACAGGCAACTCAGCTGTAGGTAAGCTTAAAGATCAACATGAATGATTGAATCGTCACTTGGGCCTCTGGGCTGATGAATTTGGGGTCCACTAAGGATTGGTGGATAGCTGACACCTGTGCTCCAGTGTCCCGCCATGCTGTAACCTTCTTCCAGCCCACACAGTTTCCCTTTGCTCAGAGGGTACCTGAGAGGCCTGAGGACCTTTTGTGTGTCTGGTGTAATGAACTGCAGTCTGTTGGGATTCTTGGGGCAGTTGGCCTTCATATGCCCCAGCTTATTACATTTAAAACATCACCCAGCTGACTGGTCACTGGAGCGAGATTGGTTGCTGGAGACGGGTGTGGTGGGACGATAAGGTGTTTGGGGTTTTCCTTGGAATGTAGTTGGGGCCTTGGGTTGCCCCCCGGTGATAGGGTTTTGTTTCGGGTTGCCCCTTCTGATATTCGCTCCAGCTGCTACCAGTTTCTCTTTTCTGCCACCTCCACCCATTTGGCTCCAATCTCCCCCGGCCTTGATTACAGTTTTGTACATCCTAGATGGGAAGCCCCTTTCTATTTCTTCTGGAACACCCTCTAGGAACTGCTCCATTTGCATTAGGAAGGGCAACTCCTCTGGAGATTTAACACTTGCTCCTGATATCCAGGCATCCAAGTTTTTTACAATGTGGTAGGCATGTTGGGTAAATGACACGTCTGGTTTCCACCTTAGGGCTCTGAACTGCCAATGGGCATGCTTGGGTGTTAGCCCCATTCCAATTCTGGCCTTGGTTTTTAAAAAGTTCATAGCTGTTCATGTGTTCCTTAGGCATTTCAGCTGCCACCTCTGCTAAGGGTCCACTGAGCTGCGGCCTCAGCTCTACCATGTACTGGTCTGTAGAGATGCTGTACCCAAGGCAGGCCCTTTTGAAATTTTCCAAGAAGGCCTCAGTATCATTGCTTGCCTTGTAGGTGGGAAATTTCCTTGAGTGGGGAGCGGCACCCAGAGAAGGATTTGTAGGGTTAACTGGTAGATTCAGTTTAGCCTTTTCCAGATCTAAGTGCCTCAGTGCTACCTCCATCTCCAAGCGTTTCACCTCCGTGCGTTTCACCTCTTTCCTCTTCTGCTTCCAACTCCAAGCGTTTTAAGGCTGTCTGTCATGCTTTTTGTCTCTCTTCAGCTTCAAATTTAGCCAATTCTAGTTGCTGTTGGACATTGCATTTCACCATCCTAGCTCCTGTTTATCAGAGAGCTAAAAAAGAAAAGAAAACCTGTTTGTAAATTTCCTTGCTGCTATAACTTAACCCCTCTGCCCTGAGGCAGAGAAAAAAACTCTGGCTGCTCTCAGCTAAAAAAACCTGCTTCCAAGCAGCCAAAAGGAAATAAAAAATTGTCTTTTTAAAATCCTACTGTGCTTTTGGTTCAAAATGATCTCTGGTTCAAAATAATCCCACTTCTCTGCCACCATGTCAGGGTTCCCTCCCCACTCTGAACTCCAAGTGGTCCTTTCCCTAATTCCTTATTAAATCACTTGGTGGTGGCGGCAGCAGCGTACCCTCCAAGGGCAAAAAGTTTTTTGCCTTGGGGAAGTTTTACCCTAAGCTGGTAGAAATAAGCTTAGGGGGTCTTTCATGCAGGTCCCCACATCTGTACCCTAGAGTTCAGAGTGGGGAGGGAACCCTGCCAACTGCATATCCAAGCCATGCACACTATCCATCAACACAAATTATCATACTGTCAAACTTAACTGGCCACTAAAACTGGGAGAAATGTTGTGGATGATTATTCACCAAAAATGCAGTTTCAGTCAACCGAAAACTATTTGGCTCAAATCTGTGTCAAAATGGCCAGAAGCGGTAGCACCACTGTCCCCATGTTATAACCTCTATCTCAGTTAGGACAGTCACATCAGATACGGGAGACTCAGATTCAAATCGCCATTCTGGAAGAAACCCAAAACAGACTTTGATTCATCAAAAATTTCAGAGTTGCTTCCACCCGCAACTGAAGTTTTGTTCTGTTTTTTGGAAGTGTCAGTGAACCCAAAAAGACATTTATTGCCCAGATCTACTGGCCACTCAAACAAGAGTGACACACTTCACTGTGGTTATGACACTTTCTGAAAAGATGCGAGGAGCAAGTAATGTTTATAATTCCACACAATATATTGGAGAAGCTAGGATCCTGTAGTTCTTCCCACCAGATTTAATATTTTCCTCAAGATGTTCATGAAAATCAACATCACTACATAAAAATTGTTACAGGTTCTTCCAGGCTCTCAACTGGAGAAACCCTTGTTTTGCTGCATCATTTTTGTATGTTAATATGTAATTACAGTCCCTGTGCTGAAATTATCAAATCATGTGCAGCAATGCGTTTTACTACAGTACAGTCTGATGATTAGTATCAGAACACAAACTACATTTACTGCCATTTGGAACATTTTAACTTCAATAGGAAATTATTAATAGCAATTATGTAAATAAAACCAAACCTCTGCACTTTCATTTGACCTTGCCTCCAACCCATACATTATCTAAATTATACATTAAGTGTATTGCAGTGACAGACATTTTAAAGCAGTGGTCACCAACCTTTTTACACCCAAGATCACTTTTTGAATTTAAGGGCAACCCAGGATCTACCCTGCCCCTTCCCCGAAGCCCCATCCACTCACTCCATCCCCAGTGAAGGGGTATGGGGTGCTAGCTCTGGGAGGAAATTCAGGGATGGGGTGCTGGCTCCCACTGGGGGGGGGCACTTATCTCAGGCGGCCCCCAGTCAGCAGCACAGCAGGGCTAAGGCAGCTCTCTGCCTAACCCGGCCCCACTCAGGCACATTGGCACCACCTCCCCATCATGAGACGGGTCACCCCCACACCGTGCCAGTCAGTAGTGCACCACATGACCACACCACTCCAGCCCCTGGGGGAAGGCATATTGCTCCAGGTGCTGCCTCTCTCTGCAGGCACCGTCCCTGCAGCTCCCATTGGCTTGGAACAGGGAGTTGTGGCCAATGGGAGCTACAGGGACGGTGCCTGCAGAGAGGGGCAGTACATGCGCACACACACCCCCACCCCCCGTGGGGCTGCAGGGGCATACTAGCTGCTTCCAGGAGTGGCAGGGGGTGCCACGGCAGGCAGCCCTGCTATGCCTTTGCAGCCAGAGATCGCAATCAGCTGGGAGAGTCTCCAGGATCAACCAGTTGATTGCAATCGATGGGTTGGTGACCTCTGTTTTAAAGGGGCTTGAAGTGGGTAGTATATATATTTTTAATTTCATGAATGTAGTACTCATGAGAAGTACCAGATCGACACCTCTAGAAAAATCAAGTGGTCTCTGTGGAATAGGGTAACACAGTCAATGGTATTACAAGCAACCCTTTAGTACCTCACTGCCCAATCAACGTGCCTCAAATCTGAAATCTAGCTCTACAGCTGCATCATCGGAGGAAAAAACGCTTACCGGTGTTCCTAATGTACACAAGGAACAATGGTGAGAAGGCAGATTCCTCTCCGACAAGACTGGTGAAGTTCCATCAAGAATCCACAGGGCAAATAAGTTTACTTAAGCACTGAGATGAGAAAAACAGAACGAGAATAAAAAGACAAAAATAAGATAACACATGAAAAAGACCATTAAAAATAAAGATCTATTTTAAAAAGAAATAATCCAGGCTTCCAATTCAGCACCAGTAACTCAACACCAAACACAAAATTCTCTGTTAGCCCAACTACTAATGTTAGGTATGTGTCACACTCCTGTGACTGCTCTTCTAACTGCAATGTTTGCTTAGCCATACCCTCTACAATATACCACTTTATACATTGTAAGAAGATTTGTATGTTCTTTTTCAATGCACACTGGAAGATTCTGGTCAAAGGATAATAGCCACATTTAGATGAGAAAACGTCCTCTTCGTTCTCATTCATAAAATCCATCTGGTGTAAATGAAAAAGAACATCACGGTAATAATTTCCACAGTCTTTAATGTAACTGAGGCAGCTGAGCAAGCATCTGATTAAACTGTACTACTAACATCAGTTCTGAAAAAAGTATTCGAGGATGTAATAGAGGAGGTCAAGTCATTATTCAAGAGAAATGGCTTGCTTTGGAAAAAAGACAACTGATTAAATGGCTTACAATGATAAGTCAGTTGCAGCAATACCTACTAACAGTACTAATGACACCTTTTGAATTAAATAAGAGGAATATAGGAGGACATGTTTCAGAACTGCCCCATCCCCCATTCAATTTCATTTGTTTTATCACCACATCCATTTCTCTAATTTCCTGATCTATCAAGATAAGGGAAGAAAAAATTGTCTGTCAACTCAATCCTCTGGAGCCTGCTTACACCAATACACAGTAGTTGCCATACCAGATACTTTGTTTATCCGGCCTGGTTCTGTACTCCATTGTCATTGAATACACTAATTCTCCAGAGAAAAGGGAAAACCCCTCTGCCTTATTAATGAAGTTAGCCATCGCATGACCCCAAAAGGCCACCAGTTTGAAGACTGAAATTTGACTGCTATTGTTATGGGGTGGGTTATTGTTATGAGTTAAACTTCATTGAAGCCAGTGGGTGCAATCCCCACCATTCATTTAATATAGCTGTGCAAAACCATTGTACAATAAGCTGAAACAATAGCAACCTCACCCAGAACAAAGGCACATGCAAGACACATCAGCGGAAGTACTGAGTACTGTTTAGTAGGAGGTGTGTAGGAGGTAGAAAAGCAGTGAGAATACACCACAGAAACAAATTCAGAAAATGAGCAGAAAGCCAAGGACACAACCTGAACAAGCACTGGGAGTATGTCCCACAGAAAAAGCCGAGAGATGAACTTTTGGGACTGACTGAGCGCTGCCTGAAAGGAGCTTGGAAGTACGTGCAGAAAAATTGTGTCCAGTTTGATTCCTCCTGGATGCAGGGAAACAAGACTTGGTATACTCTATATAAATAAACAGGACTGTATCCTGCATACCTAACTCCAACATCAATTTCTCCTCCTGATGAAAGCAACCTGCAAAACTCTTTGGGTCAAAAAAGGTAACAATCTTCAAAACTACAAATGTGATTAGGGCACAACCCTGCAAGATACTGAGCATTCACAATTTCTTGCAAGGCCCCCATGACAGTATTCAAAAAAGAAACATCTGATAAATACCTTAAAACATAATTAGTACAATTGTAAAAAGAAAAGGAGTACTTGTGGCACCTTAGAGACTAACCAATTTATTTGAGCATAAGCAAGTGAGCTACAGCTCACAAAAGCTTATGCTCAAATAAATTGGTTAGTCTGTAAGGTGCCACAAGTACTCCTTTTCTTTTTGCGAATACAGACTAACACGGCTGTTACTCTAGTACAATTGTGTTTCCTGACCTCATTTTCCAAAAATAGGAGGACAGAACAGAATTAAAGGATTACTGTGGCAGCCAGCCGGCAGCAGAACAGCCAGTGTCATGAGTTCAGCTTCAGTCTTTAAGTGGTTGAACAACAAATTCAAAATTTTAGCTGTCTGTGCCTTTAACTTCCAAACAAACGGTAACTCTTAGGGCTAGTCTACACTACAAGTGCTACTTCAGCGCAGCTGCACCAATGTAACTGCACGTCTGGTGAAGACACTATGCCGATGGGAGAGAGAGCGCTCTCCCATCAACATAATAAAACCACCTCAGAGAGCCAGTAGCTATGTCAGCAGGAGAAACTCTCCTGCCAACATAGCACTGTCCACACTGGCTCTTAGGTCTATGTAACTTAAGTCACTTGGGTGGTGGTTTAGTCATACCTCTGAGCTACATAAATTATACCAAAGTAAGTGGTAGTGTAGTCACCTAGTCCTTTAAGCAAAAGCCCTGAGCAGGCCCTGAGGTTCTGGGCTAGTACTGAGGTGCTCTGCTGCAGTTCTGTCCCAGCCTCACCCAACACATCACTCAGAGAAAGCAGGCAAGTCTTTCTTTACTGTCTTGCTGACTCCCAATTGGTCAGTATTTCCTCCTGGCCTTTCCTAGGCCTCTGGAGGACTAAGTGTTATTGTTGCCCTGGTCTGAGCAGGTTTTCCTTAAGCAGGAGGGTATCAGGGTCCCACCTCCTCCAGCAGGGAAAGGGAACATCTAATAGACCCCAATCACACTTACCTTGCCTTTCAAAAAAGAAAGTGAGAATTTAGAAATAAACCCTTATACTGCTTGCCTCGTAGGAACCCCTTGAAAATCTACCTCCACAGGGACACACTCAGGCAAGAATGCAAAAAACAAGAAAATCACACACATGGATGATGCAAGGATTAATTTTTCAATAATTCTGTTTAGTTAAGGGGTCTCTTGCATATTCCATACATGATCCTTTCACTATCTCTCATGTGTATGTAATTTTAACTTCACTATTTTCTGATTGAGTGTTTCATTTTACAACCTTAACCATTCTGTAACAGCAATTTTTAAACAGAATTTCCTATGTTTCCTTTTTAATTATAAATAAAGAATTCCATTGTGTACAGCTAGTGGCTAAACAGTATTCTGAGAGGTAGAACAAGAAACAATGTCTTCAAAGACTAAATGTCAGAGAGCATATATTGCAGCAGTTTAAAGACATGAACTGAAAGGCACACAAGTTAGAGCTGAAAAATCTTAGATCCTGGGTCTCGTATGAAAAAGTGTCAAGAAGTCCAGTACTGCCTCTTTAGTATCAAAATATACTACCAGTACCTGTCCAAGTTTCCAAATAGGGATACAAATCTGAAAATATTAACATAAGTAATGAGGTTGTATGGGCATTAGTGGGGCATAAATGAGGCTCTTCACATTGTATAAGTGTAGATGTATTTCCATTTCAAAACACAACTGATTAAAACTTAACTCTTCTTGCTGAGATTCCAAACACAGAAGGCAAGTTTAAAAAGAATTCTTAATTCCTGACAACATCTTTTCTCTCTTTCTGGGGGGGGTGGGGGTGGGGCAGTCAAGTTGAAAATGAGTTTCCAGCTCCACTGACTGACTGCCCATGTTTGGTAAATGTTTCTTCTATCTTTCTTCAACTATTTTTATCAGGACACATACATAGCTCTTTGCTGATAGGAGAATGTTGATGTATGTTCTGCCAGAGACAACAGATAAATATTCTGCTGTATTTTAATAATCTCTTGCTCCGTAAATAACTAATGTGTCATTTCAGAGCTTTCATTGCTTATCTGTGTGCAAGCCATGTCCCTGATCCTGCAAAATACAAAGCAGTTGAGGGGATCAGCATCTCATAAGCTCTGCACCTTGTATGATGAGTCAGGACTCAACTTGGTCTCCTTTTTAGCAAGGAAAATTTTGCACACACAGTAAGTCTGTTTTTTATTTGATGGTAGACAGTTATTGAGCTACATGTTTGCCCCATTAATCAGGTAACTAGAGGTTTTGCAACTAATATCTGCACCTACAATTGACTACAGTTAAAAAAAACACCTGCCCCCACGTAAACAGCAGCCACTTCTGAAAATACTTGTGTGTACATATATGTGAGGGAAAAAAAAAAACCAAACACAGGTTTAATGCACTATGGTGCAACATTTGCCTATGGCTGGTAAAATCTGCCTTTAAGACATGTTAAGCACTAGGTTAGGAGACTAGCTGTAGTTAATGAAATAAATAAGGTAAACACTTTAAATATGCAAATTCAGCTCAGCTAAAAGTTTGAGCTTTAGTCTCTGGTGGAGCACACTGTACAATATGGGTGTGCCTGGATCACTTCAGGATATGCAGGGAGCTGTGCGACGCAGGCTTGTCTCAAAGACCCAGAGGCTTCTCTTCCCCTCCCCTTGGAGGGCTTTATTTTTCAACCTTCTCTACTGTGTGCTAAAATGAAGATGATGGACACAAACTTGGTCACTTGAAGGAAGAGAAAAGATTATGGTGATTTACTACTTTCATTCAATGAAGTAGAATAAAATTAAAAATGTCTTTCTAGCACATCAGAAAGTATGAAATCTGATCATATAAGACGCCCAGTACAATCACTTGAGGTGGGAGACAAATTTTCTCCCTCTCCAATATATTGCACAACTTAATGAAAAGCAAATATTTTTCCTGCTGTATACAATGTTTATCTGCCTCCCAACCTGCAGCACCACTACAACCACAGAGCTTTTACAGCATTTTATTTCACATTTGCCTCCTCTGTTGATGCCCCCAAACACCTCTGGAGAAAACTAGATAGAATAAGGGAAAGCTAAACGATCATGAATAAAAATAACTCAGATAAACTTAGCAGTTCTGAGAACAATGACAGAGGGTCTCTGAGTGACACTTTCAGGGAAAGAGCAGCCTAAATGGAGTCCCTCCCTGCCAGTGAAGAGTCCTTGCTCTTAGCCCAATCTAATGTGAGTCTCAAAGGTTAAGCTGAATCAACCCAAATGATCTCCATTGCCTTAGCAGGACAATGGGTTACTTGCAGAACCATCTTTCATCCTATGTGGTGCACTTTGCTGTACACTGCACCTTTAAGACTTTCACTTGCAGCATTTTATAATGCAGAGTTGATGCAGCATGTTACAGAGGAGATGCACACTGCACACTCTCAC